AGTGTTACTATTAATAAGTCACAATACTACTATTGACAAGGGACAATGTCACTATTAACAAATCACAGTGCTACTATTGGCAAGGGACAATGCCACCATTGACAAGTCACAATGCTACCATTGATAAGGGACAGTGCCACCACTAATAAGCGATAGTAAATGATACCAAATAACTTTAAATCACATTTTTTTAAAACTTATATCTGTAGATACATTGACAAGTGACAGTGCAACTGATGACAAGTGACATTGTAACCATTAACAAGCAATAGTGTAGTTATTGACACTTCATTTTATAATTGTATATCAGTGATAATAGACTTTTAATAATGATTATATATGAAAATATAACCAAAGTGTAACATGTCAAAGTGATTGAAAATATCATATGATGCTAAGACAGGTTATGTAACTTGAATTCACATTATTGATAACTTACATCAACAAATTAATTGACAAGTCATACTACAATGACTAACAAGTCATAACAAGTTTATTGACAATACAGGATGCAACTAATTACAACTGAAATGACATCAGAATCTAATATGCCAGTTCATAGCCAACTTTCATTTACACCTTCATATACATAAAACTACACCTACTTCACAACCCATAAAAAAACATATGGGTTGGATGTAATTACCAAACTAACTAGTGGTGTGTATTCATTTACAAAAAATGCCCTTCACACCCATTTACAAAATATTCCCTTCACATCCATATGCAAAAAAATACTAACTTCAATATGTTCTCAACTAGGATTTGGGTTCTTGCATGTCTTGGTAATATGTCCAGGTTCTTTGCATCTTCCACAATGATAAACCTTCTTATTTTGGAACTGAGATTCTATCTTATTAGTCCTTGGCCTTCCTAGAGGCCTTCTAGTTATGTGTAGATGCAAGAATATTTGGGTCAGCATATGAGTCATAGTGGGTGTATCAAGTTGTGGGCAATCATGCGTTGCAGTTGGCTTCATGCTATTTGCATATATTTTCTCCTATATGGACAATTTATAATGATCATCTACATAATCATACATGTTACGGTGAATTAATTTGATTGTCGCACATGCATGTACACAAGGTATTTCACTCGTTTGTCATGTCAAACATGTGCATCTGTGAGAAATAAGATTAACAATCACATATATGATGCGTCCCTCACGCATTGTCTGTATCAAAATATGGTCATTACCATAATGTGTAACCTCCATATATGCACCTCTTGCTATTCGTTCCAACAACTTTGATTTAATATTGGGTCCTATACCATTTTTTCATCTTCTCATCCCCATTTTGTTAGCAACCATTTTCTTGGCCAATTTCTTTTGATGCTCTTGTATCAAAACCGGCAAGGTATACTTCCTTTCTTTCAACATCCAAGCATTAAAAGACTCAACAAAATTATTGGTGATGTTATATCATCTCTTAAAAAGAAACTTGCTTTATGTCCATCTATCCACATCCCCATGAAATTCAACCCATTGTACTAATTGTGAACAAAATAATCTTAAATTTCCCATTGCAACACTAAACTCATTGTCATGCCTTACATATGCGTTTCCATCAAGTAAATTAAGTGCATTCTCCTTATTATTCTTTGAGGTTCGTCTCACACCTCTATTGATTTTCACATACAACGCATTATAATTTTCTTTCACGTGTCGATAGCAAAAAGCATATTTTTTACCACCAAATATTGCTTTGACAACACCGATGATAACATTATTTTGATTTAAGACAATTGTTATTTGTACTGATCTAGTTAGCTCTTTCATATTCTGTAGAAACCAAGCCCATTCGTCATTTTTTTACTCCACTAATAATACCATATGCTAAAGGAAACAACTCATTGTCTGTATCAAATGCACAAGCTAATAATAAAGTTCCCTTGTAAGAACAACTCAAATGACATCCATCTAAATAAATAATTAGTCTGCAACCTTGTACAAAGCCTTTAATTAAGCATCTATATGCAATGAATAGTCTCTCAAATTAGTTGCTATTTGAGTCTTCCCATCTTACAACTGTATCAGGATCAGTTTCCATTAGTCTCTCGTGCATCTAATGGATTACTTTATAAGAATCTTCTACTTGACCATGTAATTCTGTTAGTGCTCTCTTCATAGCCCTATATACTTGAGTATAGTTCAATTGCACTATATATTCTTTATACAAGTCCTTTCTAATTTTATTAGGACTCTTGTCAATATTGCACCTCAAGTTATCAATCACAATTGAAAAAGCTAAATTTCACCTTTCCGAGTGAGAAATAATTAAGTTGTCCTATGCATGATGAATGCGTTTACTTTTATATGTTCTAATAGTTAAAAACTTAGTATCTTGATGTGCTCTCATTGAATATGTACCCACATATCATGGACAAGCATCAACTTGCACTTTATAATGATCTTTTGTTGATTATCCTTGATAAATTTGTATAAATGCTGTACTTGTATAATGTTTTTTGGAAGGCAATAGCATTTGGAAATATTTGTTCTTCTCCAATAATCAAATCCTTCAATTTTGTGAAATTCATTTGAAGTGTAGGCGTTGGGATCATTTCCACTGCACAAAGAATTGATGGTAGCTCTCTAATCTTATCAAACAAAATAGGTAGAGACATAGACAATCCATTTACACCTCCAAATAATTGATCAATCCTGCAGGAAATGACAAGTCAAGATGCATGCATTGACAAGTTGGTAGCAAGGCAGTAACAACTAACATACCAAGTAATGACAATAACATATTTATTCAAACTAAACTTGCGCATCTTGCTCCTCTATTACATTATTCCTTGTTGCTTTTATATGGTCTTTGTTTCCATTCTCTTCTAAATACATATGATCACTTCCTTCATTAAACTTTATCAAATGTTCTACCCCATCATCATCTACCAACTCTACAAATATTTTTTTTATCAAACATAACTTAGAATTTCAAAAGAAATGAGTTACTTTCTTTTTCAACAATAGATGATATAATTTCCTTCAATTCTTCATAATTTGTGCTCTTATTTATACTTGTTGTTCTTACACTACCTCCCACATATCTCATATAATCTCTTCCATCATTTATAAACTTCCTATTATATGAACAAAGCAAAATAGATGCTTTCTAGATGTACTCGCTATCAATAATATAAACTTGCATCAAGAATCATGCAGCTGTCATTGACAAGTGAAGCATTAACATTGACAACTGTCGTGGCATACATTAACAACTATTACGGTTTGATTGACAACACAATATTCTATTTCATGCTAAGGGTTTCTACCCATACTAACCTTCATCTTTTTCTTCCTTTGCCACTAAACTGTGCCAAAATAGAGCAAAACCACCTACAATATACCCAAAAACAGAACACTCATCATCATCCTATAACCCCAACTTAAATCACCAACACATGCTAACCAAAACCACAGCTTTTCCATTGATTAACTTGTTTATGTTAGACCAAAAACAAAAGCTTTGTAGTACCCAAAGGCAAAAACGATTTTCTGAATTCTCATTCCCAAACATAATCAATTTGTCTAGAAACATGTTGTAGGAGAGGAAAGGAAAGAAAGTTCTAGACCTAAAAATTTGTGAAAATTCAAATAGAAGCTTTTTGGAGTTTACTAATGCTAATGGGGAAAATGTTTTATCATCAATGGCTGCTTCCTTTTTTCTCCACGTCCTCTCCCTCAACCATAGCAGCCTCACACTGCACGGGAAACTCAGTGCCTTTTTTTTTCTGTCACGCTAGGGTAATAAAGCCTTTTTAAGTTTCTTAATATTACAGCCAAGTCCCTTTGGGACTTCAAAGGAATTATTAGACTTGAAGGGACTTTTTTACTGTATATTTCCTTGTATGGGGCCTCAATGTTATTTTTCCTAAAAAAACGTGAATAAATTCAACATTCCTTTCCATAAAAAGTGTTTTTCATGGTATCTACAATAGATATAAAATATATAAGAATAAACATAGGTAAAAAAAAATTAATAAATAAAGGAGGTATGGCATTTCCATAATATATTGCATATATTCCTCCTGTTTTTAATATAATACCTAATTAACTAATTTAAGTAAATTAAGAATGTTAGTTAAATTAGTTAATATGATATGTTTTTCATAAAACACCCAAATTGTCTTCCTTAATTTCTTCCCTTACTCTTCTACTTGATTATTGTTGAAGGAATGTCAATATCAACTCTCAAATTTTGTTGGAAAAAAATTAATAAACATGTAAAATTGGTCTTACATACATGATTAATATCAACTCTCATGTTATGTTTTACATTAATGACTGGAGGAGTATTTTTTATACTTTTTGAAAAATTGAGGAAAATTTCTCATGGACAATTTTACTGGTAAAAAAGACATGAATATTTTGCATGTATAAATTTATAGAATATTGATTTTTTTTAATATTGATGTTATTTCTAAATCTTGTCTTCTCAAATTTAATTATGTTAAAGTAGGATTGTTAAGTGTTTTTAACTTATAAATACTTTTATAATGAATGTCATTTTGTTTTTGGTTAAAAAAAATTATAAAGAATTATCTGTTTTTCTTACCAATCAAATTTTTTAATGTAGTGTTTACAAAATCAATCTCACATTGAAAAGAGAACCTCGCATAACTAATATAATGGGGGGTTTTGGTGAAACCAAATCATAAATTTAAAAGTAATTTTACAATTAAAAGTATTATTTTTTGTTTTTAATGCGAGAACTAGTTGATTAATTTAAGTATATTAAAAAAATTAGTTAAATTTGTTATTTATAATAAATATATATTATCTTTTTTAAAATTTTTAACATGTATAATTATCATAAGATTATCTTAAAAAAATAATATACATAAAAGATAAAATAAATTGAATTCACGTATTTAAGATGAAATTTAAAATCAAACTACAAGAAGTAAACACGCGAGAGTAACTTCGGGGGAAACCAAACACCTCCGCACTCTTGTCTCGTCCGCAATTTGGCCTCTTTTTCTGATTCGTTCTGTCTTGAGCTTTCGGAAAAAATAACCGCCTGAGGCGGGTTTGCTCGATTGATTCTGTCTTCTGGTAGCTGTACCTTCTCTCGGTTGAGTAGACGACGGTTTTATTACACTGCGCCCTTTCTCTCTGTTTTTTGTTTTCCTTTTGAGTGTGGCTGGATCGGTCTCAGATTTCGCTGTTCTTGCTGTTTCTATAATTTCTGCGGAAGAAATGGCCACCAATTTCTGGACATCATCTCATTAGTATGTTTCATCCCCATTATTTTTCTATTTCTATTATTTCTTCTATCTTGGCGCTGTTCGATCGCCCTTCCTTTTCTCCTAATCCATGTATTAATGGAGTTCTTGTGGCTCTGCGCCTGCAGCAAGCAGCTTGTAGACCAAGAAGATGTGGATATGGTAAACCCACTTGACAAAGAAAAGGGTATCACACTTGAGGATTTTAAGCTCATAAAGATGCACATGGCTAATTGTAAGCCCCCCTTTCCTGTCTTTGATTTGTCTTCTTCTAATCCCAGAGTTCCGTGCGCAATTTGATTCTCTGTTGTTCCGTCAGCATTTCGGCTTTTCTTTGAGTTTGTATTTTTGATTAGCGTTATCTTATTTTCTATATGGTGACTGATGCTCACTTCACAGTTAGCTAAGTTTGCTGTTTTTTTTTTTTGGGCCGTTGACAGCCTGGGGTTTGTGTGTAATGGCTTGATTTCTACTTCTGATGGAAACTTTTGTATTGATCACTATGCCCTACACGTAACTGTTATGGATTTTCTTTTCATATTCTAGTCTTGGGGAGTTTGAAAGAAATTTATGGAGTCTGATATGGCAAAACTAATGTCTGGTATCTTCGGTATTCCCAAAATTCAAAGCCTTAACCCTAAAAAAATAGAAATTTAAGTTACTAGGTATTTGTTTGAAAACTTTGAACTCCTCTATTAGCCAAAATATACTATGAGGATATGAATTTCAAGACACTGCTTTATTTGCTAGTGCTGTTGTGTATCGAATATGTTTTTGCAATATGCATGCTTGATCTTTCATCGTCTACTTCTAATGAATTTCTGCATCGTTTTTTGCTCTGCGCAGATATCTCAAAATTGGCTCAAAGTGTCAAAGTTAGGCAGAGGTGCAAACTGAATTACCTAATCTGTACCTTTTCTTCCCGCTTAAGTTGTCACAGTTTGCCTAATAATTTCATTAAGAATATTAGGCAAACTGTTACCTTGCATGCTTGAATTTATTTCAATTTATTTAAAAGATCTTCCGGTGCTGGATTTTTTTTTTTTTTTTTAATTCTTGTTCTTGTGACCTTGCATGCTTGAATTTGCGCAACTTGTCACTTCATGGCAGACCATTTGAACGCTGATTTATTAGAGCTTTGCCAATGTCTTCATTGCTTTATCGATGTTGTCAGGAATTCCAATACTTGAATGCCATGCATATGATAACCTTTATGTGAATCAAGCTTGTTGCTGTTGGGTACTGGTTCGAGACTTTTATCATTGAAAATTTTAGGGATAGAAGGTAACTGGTTGTTTTGATCTAATCCCTGTTAATCTCATGAGTTCTTTTAATTAAAAAAAAGAAAAAGAAAGAACATGGCGATGGTCAACATGGAAACATATAATGTGGATAGCGTTTGACTGCCTACTGTCAATAGTAATAAAAGACAAGATTTCACAAGTAATCAGCAGTTCCCTTTGTCCCTTGTATGGATTAATGCGATCTTTCATCAATTAAACTTGCAGCAAAGTTACACTCTCTGCTTGTTTCAGTAAGACCATCGTATAAAAGTTGTCTACACTGTTCTGTTATAAGCTATGGCTCTTTTTTTTTTTTTTTTAAAATAAATTCCTGTCTCTTTCAAGATATTGTAATTTCAGTTTTATATCAACAATAGCAACATAGTATAGACTTCTGTGTAAATATTTATAATGTGGAGGAATGGTTTTAGTTTCATTCCATTTCAATGGGAGATTCTATTTTGAAGAAAAGGCCTTGGCATGATGAATAAGTAAACTTCTGTTCCTTCTTTCTTTTTGCCTCATGTTGTAATTTTTATATTGGGTGGTTTGACAATGGTTATAATTGTGATAAATCAGTATATTTATTTCAGTTCTATTAGTTTGTAAGAAATTAACTGTCTTTTTTGCTTTTAAGTTATTTCATTTGTGGTAAAGGGAATTAAAGGTGTATTTAGCATTGGAGTTGGAGTAGACTAGGTACTTAATATATTTCACTACCTTAGGTAAATTTAAGTGAAATAAATGATATTGTGAGGGTCATCAGATTTTAAAAAGCAACTATGATACCCTCATAAAATACTGGTTGAGAAAGGTAGAAATTCCGAGCTATTATGATTGATCATCTCAGCAGAATTTCTATTTTCTAAATCCATTGCTTGAATTTGCGTTCATGTCAAACTTAAGTGGTAACGCTTTATCAGTTATAATGATTTGAAATATTTTTTCCATTATATTCTGGATTTTGATATAATTGAGAGTATTTTTTTCCTGAAAATCTCCAGTAATATTATTTGTCTTTTCTGTGCAAAATATCACTGCAATCATTAATATGTTGTTGGTCAACCTTTCAGGGTTGTTGCTACTGCAGTTACATATATGAGGCGTGTTTACACCAGGTATTCAGACTTCACTGGCAGAGGTCCTTGTGGGATTAGAGCATTGTATCTTATGTTGTTTGTCTATTGGTTTTTGTTTTGCTGTGGTCAGCCTCATTTTTATGCAGCATTTATTGATCTCGGAATTTGACATGCACACCCCCACCATCTGTTCTTCTGATGATTATAGCTAAATTAGCAGCATTATTTTTATTTCATTTCATTGATGTCATTGCCCATATTTGTGCTACCATTTCATTTATTTGTGATAATTGAGGAGATAGGAGAATGCTTCTTCCCCCGTAATGTCCATTTTATGGTACAGAGATTTATGATAGACTGTAGGAGAGATTGAAGGAAAAATAGAATGCTAATCTAGGATAGAATAGAAAAGTAAATAGAAGACTAACATAATCAAATCCCAAAATACTAGGGCTCACGGAAAACTATGAAACTAAAATATCAAATAAATATTCAATAGTTAGAGACAAATCAATCCTGCAAACGATGAGGGTGATCTCAACCTATAATATATAATCCCATGGTTCATTCTGTTCATTTATTTTTTCCCATTTAAGGGCCTGTTTGGTTTGAGGGGAGGAAGGGGAGGGTGGGGTAGGAAGGGGGAGGGAGGTTTTATCCTCACCTTGTTTGGTTTGATTAAAAAGGAAGGGAGGGAAAAATATTTAATGATCCCTTGTTTGGTTCAAGAAGAGAAGGGGAATGATAGTAATAATTAATTTATCATTTTACCCTTACATATTAGTTTATATTTTTTATTGATATATTATATAAATTAATTTACATCTTAATTTAAATTATATAATTTAATGAAAATTCAATCTTATCATGTTAATATGTGCATTAAAAAATTGGTACAATAATTTTTTATTCTAATTAATATAATAATATATTTGAAATAATCAAATTAACAAATTTTATATGCTCTAAGAAGAATGAAATTTTATTCTCCTTAGGCTATCCTTTTTTTTTCAGCTTTAAAATATATTTAATAAATAATATATTTATAAAAAACAATTAATTTTATAATATTATAATTTTTTATTTTTAATTAATTTTTGTTATAATATATTTTTTAATTATAATAATTTATATTTTTTATTTTTTACCTAGGATAATATATTTTTTATTTGAAATAAATATTATAATAATATATTTTTTGGGTAGTAGTGGAATATTAAAAAAAACCATAAGGGTATGATAGTCCAAAAATTTAGCTTCCTTCCAAAAACGCCCAATTTGAGGGGAGCTAAAATGGGGGGAGGGAAGGGAAGGGAGGGGACATTTTGGCTTTCCTCCCCTCCAAAATTTTTAACCAAATGAGGGGAGGGGCTCATTTTCCCTCCCTTCCTCCATCCTCCCCTCCAACCAAACAAACCCTAAGTGGGGTAGGGGGAAAGAAAGGGTAATTTTTGAGGAAAGATGCATTCAAAGAGACATTATCATTTGGAGGAAGGGCATCGGGTTCACAAATATTAGAGCCTAATTACAGGAAGTTCTATGTTATCGGTGTATGCTATAAGGAATAAGAGATGGACCACAGCTGATGGTGAGGTGGCAAGCTGGCGCAGCTAAGTTTCTGGCTGGGTGAGAGGTGTGGATTGTTTCCTACATGGTAGTGAGGGATGCAGGAGTCAAGCAAGTTTATTGTGTTTGGGACAGTACCTGTCCAAAATAACCCTTGATGAGATTGAAACTCATCATGCTACTGTAGCTTCAGTATCATTTGTTTTCAAAGACACTTCAGCATTGTTTTCATAATGTGCGTTTGCCATTTGGGGAGATTAAAGGTTTTGTTTTCATTCTCTTTTTTATTTTTTAAATTCGGGTGGATTTAGATTTTAGGTATATAATTTTAATAATTAGTAATTTACACATTTTTATAATTAAAAATATAAATGAATTTTTCAAATAAAAATTAATTTACTCTCATTATTCATAATTAAAACTACTTTATTATGTTTTAGTAGTAATGGTGTTAAAAATAATTATTGACATATTTTATTATTATTAACAATGTTTTACGGCAATTATTAATATATCTTTGTATGGATCATAATTAAAATTGATTGTTCAATTATTTTTATAATAAGGGTATTGGAGTCAGTCATTTAGATTGTTTTTCTCTCCGTCACACTGTTTTCTTTCCACTGTGTGCCCAATGTTTCTTTCCTTCCTTTCGGTCCATTTCATTCCAAATGTTAGGTAATTATAAATTTATCAAATCTGTCAGCAGTTGGCACTTTTCCTTTGCGTTCGTTTCCTCTTCACTAAAATACATTTTAGTCAGGACAGTAACGCTAGAGCTTTGAGACCAGCTAGGATTGAATGGTCATCAATTCGTTATCTGGGGGGAAGTTGATGGTCAATGCTGAACAAAATCAATTGACGAGCTGGAATAACACAACTCATATTGTGTAGGTGACTCAAAATGTAATTGGTTAGATGGTTAAGGACCCTTGGTGCTATCGGGTGGCTGTTTTAAGGATGGGAGTTATTCTTGGGATGATGGTATTGAGGAGGAAGAGAACTTATAGGTGGCCAGGTCGAGGCATTTAAGCAGTTTCAGCGGTTGGAAACCAGAGCACCAGTTCATACTCTCCCTTATATGTTTCTAGTCATTTTGCGAAACATAATTATCTTTCTATAGTTTCTAACTTTGTTATCACATACCTTTTTCCTGAAATTATGTTTCCTGATGAGTCATTTCAATCTTCTGCTTTTAAATTGATATTTTGATTTAAAAGTTTTGAATGTCTTTGTGCCTTGTCTGGCTTTTTGGGTTGCTCTATTTTATGTTTTCCATTCAAGCGCACCGATACTATAATGTCCTGACTGCATGTGCACTTTCAGAAAGAGTATGGCTGAATATGATCCACGTCTGGTGGCTCCAACCTGCTTGTACCTGGCATCAAAAGCAGAGGAAAGCACAGTGCAGGCTAGACTGCTTGTATTTTACATTAAAAAATCATGTGAGCACTTACTTTATAGAGCCGCCCCCTCTTTTTCCCTCCTGGCTAGTTTCAATTTTTTTTTTTTTTTTTACAGATACTGATGATAAGTGCAGGTTTGCCGTTAAAAATGCTCATTGTGCTGAAATGACATTATTGTTTTTGTAGATTCTGATGATAAGTACAGATTTGAGATCAAGGACATACTTGAAATGGAAATGAAGATTTTAGAGGCGCTTAACTATTACCTGGTTGTTTTCCACCCGTATCGTTCATTGTCTCAGTAAGTAATTGATCACCATAGTTGTTTCTTTTGCAAACACGCCTCTTCAAATTAGGGTAAAATACGCAAACAGCCGTTCAAATTTGACCATTTTGCACATACAGCTTCTACACCTTTATTTTTTAATTTTATTTTCATTAAATCTCTTGTAATTTAGTAATCAGATGGTTCAACGACACATTTAGTCATTTTGTTGAAATTCAAATTCTAGAAACCCAATAATAAGCTTGTTAGTTCTAGAATTCATGCTGACCTAGAATATAGTTAATGCACTTGCTATTATGGTTTCCCAGTTTGAGTTCTCATACCCTTTAGTCTCTGTTCGCACAATGGGGCTCTGGCTTTCTTGTGCCTAATTCATATCAGCTTCTTCATCAAAGTGATTTTACAGCAATTATTTCTGCCTTAGTCTAGGACTTAATAGAAGATGAGAGCTCAGAAAATCTCTGGGAAACTTTTCCCCCTTTCTTTCCTTTCCCCCCTTCTTTTGGGGAGAAAGAGAACTCCCCTCCCCCCCACCAGCTGCCCAATGCCAGTAGATCAGCTGAATTAAACACTAGTACACTGTATAAATGGGGAATTGAAATGTCATATGGATTGTAACGGCCATATGCATATCTTCAAGAGCTTTCACCTTAGATGTTTATTTCATGGGATTAGTATATCATTCTGATTATGCTCTGATATGTAATAGTTGCAAATATTCCTATTCATGGTTAAGCCACATGTGAGACCATATTCTTCACCTTTTCTATTGGAATTATTTCATTTCTTGCTTGACCTTAGGATTTGCTTCATCTTTCAAGCCTTCCCCTCAAAAATCTGCAAGCTGGATGAGTACTAATAATCAGTTATTTAGCTAACATAGATCCTAAGTTAAATGAAATTGACTGCATAATTGGTCCTATATTCTTCATAATCTCTTACAGTTCTATTTCATGTTTGTTTATGGTTATCATTCTTGTGATTTTTCTCCAGGTTGCTCCAGGATGCGGGGTTGAATGATATCAACATGACTCAATTAACATGGTGAGACTTCATTGATTTGGAAATGATTGAAGTAGCTTATGAGCAGTCTTTTCTTTCCTTTTTTTTTTCTTCTTCGTTTTGATGATTTTACCTTTGTTCTTGCCTGTCCCCTTTGTTTGCATGCTTTCTTCAGTTGCATTGTTTACTAAGAAGAAAACGTCAAAGTCATTGGCATTAGAATTTTCCTGGAAGAAGCATATGCTTATTTTTGGTACCTTCCCTGGAGGGTTGTGTTTAGAGCTTCTCTTTGGAATGTACACCCAGAAAGAGGGGGAAAAAATCTTCTCTTAGGTTTTGTTTTTTATTGGTGAAATTCTGTTTGGAGTTCACAGAATTTCCACTCATTATATGCAGAGAGATCGGACAGCTTTTGTTATATCTTTTAGGCTCTTTATATCTTTTGGTTTTTTTTTTGAAGGATGTTGCCAAGATCTAGATCTAAGCCTTAAGATCTTGTGATTTCACATTCCCAAATAACCCTAGCAATCTCTAGCCTATGAAAATCTAAATTGAAAATGTTTTAATTTTATGATCTTACTATCTTATTGATATTATGGCATTTTGGTTTTGGGGCAGTTATTTCCCTTGAAGTAGGAGATGCTGTGTCTTTGTACTGGAAGAGGGGCATTATGTTTTTCTCTGGCTGTTAAGTTTTTGGACCTTGATTTGCGGTATTGATCTTATTGCAAAGTGCCCTCTGTATTATCCTCCCTCTTGTAGTCTTTCCTCTTTAATATTTTTTCTCTAATCTTGCATAGATTGAGAAATACACGTGCGTGCCCACTCAGATTGGTGGAAAATGTGGATGTGGTGAAATGCATTAGCAGAAGCTATTGCAGATTGGTATCACTGATTTGGCAAAATAAATGGAACTAATTGGGAATTTAGATTAATCTTCCATTTTTTTTAGTACGACTGAGTTTTTGTGAAAAGGAAATTGAAAGACTAGTTGTTGTTATTTTTTAAACATGACTTGGTTATTATGGAAGAAAAAGTTTAAGCTTATATGGAATATTCAAAATAGTATAATATTCCCTCCAATCCTAAACGTGTCCCGAATGTTGGAGCTAGTTGAGAAGTTAGCTTTGGTCTTAAATGTAAGGCCTCTCCCAAATTTTCATTTCTCTCCCAGATTACCCATATTGATTGCATAAATTTAAATTATTAAATGCGTGCGATCAATAGGGGTAGTTGTCAATGTAAATGATTAGGAGGAGGATATTTTTAGGGCAACCAACACAATTTTTTTCTTTTCCAAATAACTAATTTGCTTAATGTGTTAATTAGTTATCTAGCTTCTATATTTAGGATCGGAAAAAGTACTAAACAAACAGCAGAAATCATTCTAATATTATTTTTTGTGTGCTTGTTTTTCTCTCTTTTCTTTTTAACTGTTGGATAAGTAAAACATATCTGATAAAATTTCTTTAGTACTGTAAATAGCTGGATTTCTTAATACAAGAATAGCTTTTTGCCGTACTTATTCAATAAGAACGCTTATCCTATTATCTCAGTATACATCTTGCTGGTGCTAGTGGGGTTGATCTGTTATCACAATTGTCAGCCATGCTGCTTGCTTGAGCTAATGTCTTCTTTTGTTCTTTTTCCTGTTGACAAATATTTTTTATTCTCCCAAGAAAAGCATAATCGTGTGATCGCTACTGCTTCATCTATATTAATATACCATATCATAAACATATTGTTCTTGCCCACAGGGGACTAGTAAATGACACCTACAAGATGGACCTAATTCTTGTGCATCCTCCACATCTGATCGCTTTAGCATGCATATTCATTGCTAGTGTCCTCAGGGAGAAAGACACCACTGCTTGGTTTGAAGAGCTTCGTGTCGATATGAATGTAGTGAGTATCTCATTAGATTTATATGCATGCACTTTGTTGCTTATAATTTTTCCTTCTCTTCTTTGGATTCTCTTATCAGCTCTTGATCGCCTCTTGTGCAAACTTTTTCTTGAAACTTGAAAGATGATAGCATGATACTTCAACTTTTGCTGAACCGAAACATTCACCCCCCCCCCCTTTCTAGTAGAGGGAGCTGTTATGATCCTTGTACGGTTGTTGGAATGAGATATGACGTGAATCTCGAGTACATGCCTTCATTATTGTTATCGGATCCTTACTACTTTACACAAAATATAACCCAAGTATCTGTGGAACTTTGGAACGAGTTTTGCTGTTTTCAATTTAGTTTTTCTGTCCTGAATTCGTTATATATTCATATTATTGTCAGAAAAAGCAAGATGTGGAAATATGGTCCTGATAAATTCGGAAGTTGCTGGGTTTTCTTTCTTTCTTTTCTTATTTGGTTGGGGGGTTTGTTTGGGCAAAAATAATATTAAGAATGCTATTTCTTACAGTTAATTTGTGGTCTAGGATTATGAAAGAGTTTAGTCATCGGACTGCCTATTGACTGTCCCATCATCTAATAGCTCCTTTATTGTGTTGCTGAATTAAGTTATCGGAGTTGAAATTTAGATTTTGTTGTATTCCTTAGAATGGTTTCATGCTGTTTAGATAAATTGATCTTTGATGAGAGTGGTGTGTGTGTGTGTCAATGGTCTTGTATTGTTCTCTTGACAGGTGAAAAATATATCGATGGAGATTCTTGATTTCTATGAAAGCAATCGAATGTTCACAGAGGAGCGGATCAATGCTGCTCTTAGCAAGCTAGGCTTCAGGTCTTAAAAGCTCTCTTCTGCAGTTAATAAATAAAAATGAATCATGGGGGAGGGAAGTTTGATCCCTGAGCTAGTGAACTTTCTTCAAGGTCATGTTCTTTACTTTAGAACATTCTTTGAATATGGCCACTAGTCAGCTTAAAATGATTAAATGTGAGGGCGCGGATTACTGAGTTGTTTTTAACTTGTTGATAGCCTCTGAAAGAATATCAGTGATCTGTGATTCATTTCATTCATGCCGATGAGTGTTGTAATTTTATTACAGAATTAGATGTGGGATCTTATGTATTGCATGAAGTTTAAGGAATGAACACACTTTTTTTAAAAAAAATATTAAATTGAGCACACTATGTTATGACTTATAGTGGAATTTTTTTAAATAAATTTTAGATTATATATTGATGGTTTGATAAGAAATATATTTGGAAAGTGTGCTTAGTTTTAAGAGTTCAATTTTGATTAATTTTGAATTTAATTAAACAATTTTAATGATGACTGGATTGAATAAAGATTCAGTTTTTAAATAATGTCATGCTTTTGAGATCATATAATCATAGAAACTAAATTAAATAATTCAACTTCGTAAAAGGAGACTTCTCTAAGTCATAACTAGTCTAGTGAAGATCCAGTTTGAAGTAGTTTATGCTAATTATGCGTGCGCGCATATGTTATGGCAAAATGCAACTTTCAAATACTAGAAAATCATATTAATAATTTAATTTATCCATTTTTCATTCAAACTTCAATTCGTTTTGAATTTTAGTGACTTAATTTTTATTAACTACTTGTGCTTATTACAATCATTTTAATTTTAATGCTTAAATTAAAGTAGCTAAAATGTTCTGATTTGACATTTCAAAATAATATATTTATCAAAATTTCAGGTTATTAAGCACATTATTATTAAGTTAAACCTACGTTAAAAATATTTAATAACAATACCATTTACATAAAGTTTTCTAAAACACTTGATTCAATATTAAAATTTTAGATATCTTATGTTAAAAGTGATAAATTTGAATAAGTAAAATTTCAATTTAGGTATAGGTAACCAAATTGGATTTTACAAATTTGCTAAAATGATCATATTGCCTTTAATTTTTTTTCTTTAAAAAAAAAACCAAACACTCTCACTGACTGGCCAGTCGTCAGAACTCCAGTGATGGTGTCGGCTATTGAATATTAGGTGTGTTACCATCACCAAAGCTTCGGCAGCTAGCCAGCAACAACTTTTTTTGAAAATTTTTAAAACTTCAGTAATACAATTAACAAATTATTTAACGCTATTGACAAGTTTGGTATACTAGTTGACAATAAGTTTTTCAAAAAATTCAAAAAGTAACATTATAACTTCAGTAATGCAATTAGCAAGTTCTATAACACTATTAATAAGTTCAATATAACAGTTAACAACAGATTTTATGAAAAATTCAAAAAGTGGCATTTTTATAACTTCAGTAACCCAGTTAACAAGTCATGTAACGATATTAACAACTCCAATAACAAGTTATGTAATGATATTAACAACTCTCATAACTATAGTGACTACCTAATAAATGAAAAAATTTTGATGTAAAGAAACTAATATTAAAAACATAACCTTCATAGGAAAAATTTGCTAATGGTGCTATGATAGTTAATAATATCGTTATGTGACTTGTTAACCGTGTTAATAAAATTATAAAAATGTCATTTTTGAATTTTTTAGAAAACCTGTTATTAACTATTATATGAAACTTATTAATGACGTTAAATTTGTTAATCGCGTTATTGAAATTGTGAAAATCTCACTTTTTGAATTTTCTAGAAATCTTATTATTAACTATTATACCAAACTTATTAATAATGTTAAAGAATTTGTTAACTTTGATACTGAAATCGTAAAAATTCTCAAAAAAAAAATTGTCAGAGCTCCAACAACCAATCATCAATTGATTGCCAGAGCTTGGGTGATGGCGACCCACCTTAACTCTGGCGGTTGCCACCGCACTGAAGAATCAGTGATCGGCCACCAAGTGTGGTTGCTTGGGTTTTTTTTTTTAATAAAGAAATAAAGGGCAATATAGACATTTCAACAAATTTGCTAAACCTAATTTAGTTACTTATACCTAAACTGAAATTTTACTTAATTAACCTGTTTGGGGATTTTGAAATTTAAGAATCATTTTTCTATTATTTTTCCTATTTATTTTGGATACTACTCCTCCGGTCCTTATTATAAGACCCCATTTGACTTTTTATTGGTCCTAATTATAAGACCCCAATCCATTTTGTCTCTTATATTTATGCATTTTTTTCCAAGATAATCCTTCTAATAATGATAGTTTTAGCCAATATACTTAATTAGCAAGGATATTTTAGGAATGACAACACTTATTTATTATAAATAACCAACTTAACTTACTTTCTTAATCTTCTCAAATAAGTCAATTGGGTCTTATAATTAGGACCGGAGGAGTATATGTGGAATTTTATCCAAATGCCAGGAAACACAATCATAGAAGGCAATTAAGCATCCAATCAAGATAAAGTCAAAATCATAATCTTTCTACATCACCATTGCATGAAGGTTTAAAAATTAAGCATTTCACTATAAAAGACCCACCTGTTCTTGGAGAATTTGGTTTAGTTATGTAAAAGAGACGAAAACAAGAAAATGAGCGAGATATCTTGTATTACTCAAGAAAACCAAGAGGGTCTTATATTTAATTTTTAGCCCTTCATACAAATGGTAACATCAAAAGATCATGACTTTAGTTTTATTTTGATTGAATGCTTGATTTCCTTCTTTGATTATGTCTTCTAAACCGTTGACTTTTAGATGAATTTTCACGTCAAGGAGAATAATTCTTTTCATTAGTGTCAAGAGGCAAAAATTCAAATTTTGTGAGATTCAACATGACGATACTATCATAAAAAAGGAGAATATGGGAGAAGAGAACAAGAGAATAAAGGAGGAGGGAGGGAAAAGGAATTCTATAATCAAAACCAAAAAATGAGTACAGGTGAGAAACCTGAGCTCTATTAATAAAGCTCTAGAAATATTAAAATATTATAAATCCTAAATCTGATCCAAATCATAATTATAAAAGATAATAAGGATAATGAAGATAAATATTAAAGATAAATAAATCCTAACTCTAATAGATAAATATTCTTATCTACCGTGCGAGAGATTAGTCACTGCTATCGGAGGTAGATACTCTAGGTCAACCAAAAAAAAAAAAAATCCTTATCTAATCCAAAATCATATCATAACTGTAATATTAAAAGATACAAATAAGGATAATAAAGATAAATAAATTCTAATTATTCTTTATCCCGTATTTCACCATTACAAAAATTAAATGAAAATTAATATTAAGAAAATAGAAGAGATAAGAAATAAATCACCATAAGATAAAGATCCTTACTACAATGTCTAGTCTATAGAAGAAATGGACACAAGAGAATGAGAGAGGTATCTTGTATACTTATTATATAAAACACAAATGCTTGCACATGGTTTACATTCCTACGTGAATGACAAATAGTGAGTCATGAATGTGAGCGGGAGGCGGGGTTACAAGATTGGTGGAGCAGTGGAAGTAGTAGGGTTACTTGGGAAGAGGGAGATAGACATACATACACTAAGCCATAATATTCATAACAAGTAAGTAAACTACAAGTCGATCATTGGCAAAAAGAAAAGAAAAGGCTATTATTAAATCAATAAACCATGAACTCTGCAGTAGGTTAACTAAATCTAGCTTTTAAGACTTTGCTAGAAGGTTGAACATATTTCCTTTAATCCTTATCAATAATCTCGATGATAAGGTTGCGTTCATTTTGCGTTGCCTTTTCCATTGGCATCACTACCTTGCCCGGAACATATATGTAAAGCTTAAAACGATGAAATTCAATATTACATTACTTTAATAGATTGGTCTGTGCTGATTTACAAAATGATAAACTAATACCATTAGTCGAGCATTCATCCTAAAATCAAAGACAAATTTAACAGCACACCTTTTCAAACGACTCTCTGTAGTAATAGTTTATCCTCTTTTGACTGACCCCAAAAAAAATCACATCATGATCAGCAGGATCTTGACTAATTATCAATGGCTCTTCTGATGTTTCTTGATCAGCCGTGGAGGAATCATTACTCTAACAAATATGATTATTTTCTCTCTCAAATAGGTCAAAAAATTTCCATATACTATATTTACTTCTTTCCCTTCTTCCGGTTCTTCTTCTCTGCATGATATTTATATAAATATATTAGGTGGCAGATACATAATAGCCCATTACTTAGTTCCCGACTCTCTTATCCTAATCATCAAATTCAAGTGCCTTGATGACATGCTTCATTTTGGACCAGCCAATTAAGTTCAGGATGGAGAGTAAAGTACATACAGGCATACAATCACACGCACACAATTGTTTTATATATGAAAAATGCAATCTTGTAAATTCTATTCATAAACGTAGACAGATGAATGCACGGGAAATATTAAGAAAAACCTTGTTGCCTTCGAGCTTCAGATTTTGCAAAGAAATCCCTCCATTCGTCTGTTAGAACAAAAATTGGCTCCTCATCCTCTTCCTCATCTAGATCCAGATGCTCCTGCTCTTGTGAAATCCTACATACCAACCAACAACGTTCAGAGTTAGCTACTGTTAATGATCAGGGGTAATTATGTAATTATAGTTAGAGGAGGTAATTAGGAAAATCCAGATAGGGGTATTTTTTATATTAAATGTACATCTCTATCAGTATAAATAGATGAAAGTATATGTAGATGATGGAATGAATGAAATAGGTTTCGTGATTACTGTGTTGTTGTGAGGCTTGCCATGCATCAGTTTGAGAAGCTATCGATCTTATTTCTTTCACGGAGTTAGAATTATAACAAGAAAATATTACAAAGGAGCTTTAAAGTAAACATCATCAGCATTATGAAGTGAGATATTTTAGGCTAACTGTACACATCATCCAAAATGCAATAAAATATCAGCAGAAAATGTCCTTTTCCCTATATTTTAATACTGCTACCGTGAGCCTCCACTTAAAAGGTTGGCAGCATCTGTAACCAAGTAACCTACAGTTTTTTTCCCCCCTCTAAATTTAGAAGAGTAAGCACTAACAACTTGAGATTACAAGCAGGATTGAACCCACGACCTCTTACTTACAAGAGAGTTTTCATATCACTAAGCTACAAGGTTATTAGTAGTAATCTATAGTTTTCAATCATTGTTATTCTCATTCTCTTGAAATTTAGTTCCAGCACAAAGTTTGGATGGTTTGGCTTTTATCCACACATCAAATAACGAGTGGGTTGCAGTTATTAATGAA